CCTATCTAAAATTTGAGCCCTCCTTTATGCTAATTGTTGACAAAGGGGGAGAGAAATTCACAAAGATAGTAAGATAGGAGGAGCAAACAAATGAAATGTGTAAGGGGATCAATAAAAAATGCACACAAGTAGGGGGAGCAAGCTCATAAACCTTGTATGTTGCATTTGAATGTGCATTTCATATATTTGCTTGCATGGCACAAGTTTTAAATTTCAATATCCATGCTTGTGTGGTGTATGCTAGTTATATGCTTGAATGGTGAAATGAAAAACTAGCATGTATAGGCTAAAGTAACTAGACTTATATTCATTTTATGGAAACTAGACCCTTGCTTGTAATATTGATCTCATGGGGTATTCTAGCTTTTGTGTATGTCTAGTTACTAATGGTGCTAAGGATGGTATATTGGTGCACTCCGATTGGTATCATGCTTTAAAGGACCATCTCTTATACCTTAGCATCATTTGGTAGACATTGTCTCCTACATTTCCTATCTAAGCATATGTGCAAGCTTCAATCCAAACTCTTAGCACATATGTAGGGGGAGCAATTGCTACCATATGAGATTCATGAAACTTGTCCATATCCTTTTACGCATGGTAAATATGCTTGGGCAAGCAACGTGGATTCAATTAAATCTCAATTCATGTCTTTGTGTAAGGGTTGTCATCAATTACCAAAAAGGGGGAGATTGAAAGCTCTAGTTTGGTTTTGGTTAATTGATGAAACCCTAAGTGCTAACCTAGTTTATCAAAGTGATTATGAGATAGGTAGCACTACTCCAAGTGATGAAGCAATGGTGAAGATCATGATGATGGTGATGGCATGGTGATGATCAAATGCTTGAACTTAGAAAAGAAGAAATAGAAAAACAAAAGGCTCAAGGTAAAGATATAAATAGTAGGAGCCATTTTGTTTTTGTGATCGAGACACTTAGTGAGTGTGATCACGTTTAGGATCGATAGCCGTACTATTAAGAGGGGTGTAACTCGTATCAAAATGCGGTTATCAAAGTGCCACTAGATGCTCTAACTCATTGCATATGCATTTAGGATCTAGTGGAGTGCTAACACCCTTGAAAATGTTTGTGAAAATATGCTAACACACATGTGCACAAGGTGATACACTTGGTGGTTGGCACAATTGAGCAAGGGTAAGAAACTTCATCGGTGGAGTGTCTGCCCATAGAGTGCGGACAGTCCGACGGTGCCACCGGCGCTCTATACAGAAAAGACGAATGTCACTGTAAGTGACCGTACGTTGGTCTTAGTTGGACCGGTGCGTCCGGTCAGTGGCAGCAGAGGGAGCGCAGTTTCGGTCTCATGATCGGACGCTGGCGTGAAAACTGACCAGACGCTCAGGGCCTGAGTTCGGTCAGTCTGACATATGATGACGTTGAGTGACCAAACACTGGGTGTGTCTGGTCGAGCATGACCGGACGCGTCCGATCGTGATTTCTCGCTTCTGTATGCTTACTGGAAACGACCGAACGCTAAGGTCTAGCGTCCAGTCACTTCACAGCAGCGCGTCCGGTCATCACTTAACCGTTGGGATCGAGCCCTTAGTATTTGCAAATAGGGGGCACGTGGCGTGCATCGCACGACCGGACGCTGGGGTCCTACGTCCGGTCGATATGACCGGAGCGTCCGGTCGCCCCGTGTTTAGTGCAGTGAGTAGCCCAACGGTTCTATTTCGTGGGGGCTTCTATTTAAGCCCCATGGCCAGCTCAAGCTCACTCTCTTGGCCATTTACATTGACATAGCAACCTTGTGAGCTTAGCCAAAGCCCTCCCACTCATCTCCATCATTGATCCATCATTATTGTGAGATTGGGAGAGAATCCAAGTGCATTGCTTAAGTGATTACATCTAGAGGCACTTGGTATTCGTGTTTCACTGTGGGCTTCACTAGTTACTCTTGGTGGTTGCCGCCACCTAGATGGCTTGGAGTAGCGAGGATCGTTGAGCGGAGGTTGGTGATTGTCTCTGGCTCCGATCATGGTGATTGTGAGGGGTCTTGTGCCTTCCCCGGCGGAGCGCCGAAAGGGTAACTCTAGTGGATTGCTCGTGTCATTGAGTTACCTCACTTGTGGGTAGATTCATGCGGTGTCCAAATTGTGTGGATGAGGTTCATGCAACACCTCTTAGCCACCGAACCACCAAGTATTGGTCGACACAATGGGGAGTAGCGTGCCGGCAAGCACGTGAACCTCGGGAGAAAAATTGGTCGTCTCTTGCCCTTTGGTATTCTCTCAGTGATTGATTTAGTATTCATCTTGTGATTGATTCACTCCTCTACACGGCGGTATAATCAACCTACTCACTCATTTATATTCTTGCAAACTAGTTGTAGCAAGCTCTTTAGTGTAATTAGAATTGAGAGCTTGCTTTGTTGTTTTAAGTTCATCTAGTGGAGCTCTTTAGTGTAGCAAGTGTGAGAGCTCTTAGTGAGTAGTGACATAGCAAATTGTGTGTCTAGATATCATAGCAACTAGAATTGTTGGATAGGTGGCTTGCAACCCTTGTAGAGCTAGAGCAAGTTTGCATTTCGCTATTTGTTATACTAATCAAATTGCTCTAGTTGATTTGTAGATTTTTAAATAGGCTATTCACCCCCCCTCTAGCCATATTAGGACCTTTCACCTAGTACTGGGGTACCCAAGGAGGGGGAGCTAATAACCATCAAACATTGAAGCTTCCGAATAGACAAGAACGCAACTACAATTCTCGCCCTGGGACCAAAGCTTGGCTCGGCCTCGCCCGACCCCTGAGGGCTGGCTCCACCTCACCCGACCCCCGAGGGCTGGACTCCGCCTCGCCCGACGTCTAGGGGAAGAGTCCGCCTCGCCCGACGTCTCAATTCGGACTCTGCCTCGTCCGACGTCCGGGGGCGGACTTCGCCTCGCCCGACGTCTGGGGGCAGACTCCACCTCGCCCGACGTCTCAGGGCGGACTCTGCCTCGTCCGATGTCCGGGGGCGGACTCTGTCTCGCCCGACGTCTAGGGCGGACTCCGTCTCGCCATAATTACGCGCGCAGATAAGGCGGGACACTCAAGTCAACCAGAATACCGAGGACCATACCCTGCACGCCTGCAGGAAAGTACTGTCAGAATATGACCAGACAGGCGCTTTAAGCCCTTCTAGGCATGTTAGAGCCCAAACAGTGTTGCGGGCGCCGATATTTATCCTACAGTGTTATGGGCGCCGACATTTGCCCTCGGACACGAATCCTGACAGAAACATACGACAACCACTACGGTCAAAAAGGAAAATCATGTCATCTATAGTAACGAATATGGGGCCTCTACGCCGTCTGCTCCCCATAGGGTCGTGGCTCGGCACCCTGGTGCATCGGGCCGCTCGTCGGTGCGGGACGGGACGTGACCACTTGTTGAACGAAGCCAGAGTATGGTCCTATCAGGATCAGCGAACGTGCTATCCCTAGCACCGTCTGTCGTGTCAGCGGGACAGGCTCAAAGGAGAAGGAAGACCCGAAACCTTTGAAGGACTTTCTCTGCCTCTAATTTTTTCTCTTTCTCCCATTTGTAATCCCTGCCCCCCTTGATCTATAAAAGGAAAGGTAGGGCACCCCACTAAAGGGATGGAATCAATTCTACACACCACATAACACACAGCTGAGTAGCAACCGAACTCTCAGTACTCGTTCGACCTTTCTATCACAGACTTAGGACATGTTCCTCTCTCGACCGTTTGTACCCTCTACTACTAACCTTTCAGTGCTAATAATACGAGCAACAGCAGCAGATTGGACGTAGGGACATTCTGTCCGAATCAGTATAAACCTTGTGTCAGCACACCATCCGAACCTAACGCGCAACAAATACAAATTTATTAGTTGGTGTTTACTCGAAACACCGACAATTTTAGAAATAATTTTAAAAGAAATATCCAAATGTTTTTATAGAGTAAATATGCAAAAAAAACTAAAATCTGATTTGATATTAAAAATCATATAAATTTTGTTTTTAACTCAAAAAATGCAAAACCAGTTTCATAATTTTTCTAGGGGCTCTTGCATTTATACCCTATTTTGTATCGAAATTGTGATTTTGCTCCTATTTTTTTACTTTATGAATTTACCCCTGCGTTTTCAAAACAAAGCACCGTTTTACCCTAATTTTGTATCGGAATTGTTAGATCCCACTGTTTTGAAAATGGCTTGACACTGCTTAGAAGAAAATGGATGGTTTAGTTCTAGCCCAAGAGATTGACGGGTTGGATGAGTTTGGTAAAAAGAGCTGGGGTGGATTGAGTTATTGATAGGTCTTTGAAGTAATGTTGGTGTGGGTTTGGTTTAGATTTTGGCCCATTAGCAAGTTTACATGCGACAAAAAAAAAACCCGTACACACTAGCTGATTCTCCGTTGCTCGCTCGCTTCCCTCAGGAACAATGTCAATACATGAGTCCAATTCAAATTTGAGTGTTGATTTTTAGCCCCCGAGCACTCCCAAACATTCACGGGCATAGTTGCTATCAATTGTTGCAAAAATGTTCAGAGCTTAAGTGAGAGAAGAAAACCAATTAAAGCTTAAGTTTGATTATTTTGCCCCAATAGAATCAATCAACCAATAATCACTCTGAGGTTACAACAAATCCTTCTGCACTAGGAGAAAGAAATAGTGAAGGAATTACCCGCCTCTGTCCGTCCGCCCGACAGATGAAAAGAATATTTTCGGAGCAAAAAAAATAGAGAGGAGAGAAACTAGTCTACTTCTACTTGTCCTACCTAGGCTACAAGCCTACAATACGCTACAGTACATATGCTCTTGTTCCGTCCCACGTCCTGTTCGGTTGGCTGGTTCGTATTGCGGCTGGTTCGTGAAGAAGTACTGCTGGTTGGTTTGTGTGACAGAAAAATACTGTTCCGGCTGAAAATTTACGATCATTTACGACAAGCCACAGCCAAACTAACGGGCTTCGCTAGAGCGGTCAAAAGCATATGATATGCGTGGCCCCACCTGGCAGCGACAGTGAGGGATCAACCTAGTGCTGCGGTAGCACCGGACCGGGTGCGCTCACACGAGAGCGCGCGCGCGACGGCCGCCACGGTGATGGTGACGGCGTAGAGAAGGTTGGCGGATGCGCCGGCGGCGGCGCTGCTGGTCTGCGCGTTGCCGCCGAAGAAGACCATGGTGGTGCCGTTGTTCAGCTGCTGCGGCAGCCCGGCGGCCTGCGGGTTCAGCCCCGTCGACTTCACGCTGTTGCATGCAACAGTATTCAAATGGTCAGAGTCACAGCTAGTTACACGGTATTTCTCCGTATGTACTATGTATCAGTCACTACTCAAGACTACATACATACGGAGTACAATGGCGGCATAACTAAAACAAGCATGCTCTGTATTTGTATTTGATCTGCTGGGCCGTGCCAACTGCCAGGACCACGAGTGAGAGCCCAAACGGCTAAACGGGCAGCATCCTTGTCCTACGTAGTCTGACCACGTGGACAACCGCGCGTGCCAGGGCGCACGTGCCTGCCTTCCTAGCCGTTTTCTCACTAGCCGTTGGTAACTTACCTCCTCGAAATGCGTCACTAACCCAACCCACCTGTGACTTGTCACTAGTCACTCCCACAATTACTGCTACAGTACGTACTGACAGAACCTGTTAATAGTAGTATCTTATTAGTCATTTTTAACTACTATATTACTGCTAATGATAGGAAGGAAGGATGAAACTAGTCGTTCTTTACTTGGTGTCAATCAAATACTACCAGCACGTACTAAAATTCAACAGAACTACTATATATTAGTGCTGAATACAGTATCTTTGCTGGTACCTGGTGGGCACTACAGGGCAGAAGGTGACGGTGTAGTCTGTGCTGCCGGCGGCGCAGGTGAATGTGGAGGTGGCGTCGTCGTAGGCGTAGCTGTAGGCGCGCGGGCACGCCGTCTTGAAGAACTGGGAGTACGTTGATGGGCGGCATGTGTTAGGATTCCCATAAGCGCCGCTGCAGCAGTACTGCGCGTCCCCGAAGGCGTCGCACGCGCTCCGGCACGCCACGGGGCCGCCGTCCGCCGCGGCCTCCACCCGCAGGCCCGCCGGGCACGCCGCGTTCAGCTCCGCGGCGCACCCCGTCGCCGCGCACTTGCCGCCGGTTGCCGTGGCGGAGGCGCTGGTGGTGGGCACGACGACCATGGGCAGGTTGTACCCGTCGACGAGGCTGACGTCGTAGAAGTCGAGCCCGCCGCTGCCGTCCAGCGTGAACTCCGCCAGCGTGGCGGGCGTGGCGGCGCCGCCGCCGTTGCACTGCACGTCGCCGGACCCGCAGTCCCCCGTGGCGCAGGAGAACCGCCCCGTGGCGGCGTCAGCGGCGCAGAGCGTGCGGCCCCAGAGGCGGCCCGACCACCCCGCTGGCGCCGACACGGCACGGGACTCCCCCGGCGCCAGCGCGAACCCCGTGCTGAGCAGCGCCGCGGAGCCCGCGCTGGACAGCAGCCCCGGCCACACCGTGTAGCCGCAGCTGTTGGCGATGGTGAACGTCGCCGACCGCGCGCCGCGCAGCTGAATCAGATGCAGCTGCAGGAGCAGCGCGAATGCCCGGCGCCAAGAACGCACTGCTGCCGTCGCCGCCATTTCGCTTGTGGAATGTTAGTGCCTGCTTGAAGCTGGAGAAGACCCTGGCAACAGTGTGGTTGGAGAATTCAGTCGATGGATGGATGCGGTTGATGACAGTGCTAACAACAGCCATGGATGGGTGTATTTATAAGGTAAGGTAGCTAGCCGGTGGAGGATGGCGACAGGGGAAGCGCAGGAGAAGCAGGGGAGGAGGAGCAGAGCAGCTGGCTGCGAAGCGAAGCAGAGCTGGAGAGGTGCATTGGTGCGTCGTGTCTTACGTGGAGGAGGTGGACCTTGTCCGGTTGTACTTTTGACTCAAGTTCTCGCCGTGCTGGCTCTTGCCGCTTGGAAACTGACCAATCCAGTCTCGTCTTGCAGCGACCAGCGATTACTAAATAAATGAATTAAGTAGAGGATTTAAAAAGAGCAGCAAGGGTGGCAAAGTGATCAAAGCTTAATTTGGCAGCCATTAGCAGTGGCTTCGATCGTGACGGCATGCAAGCCATATGAATGCATGTCAGATGTCACAAATCTTAATTCTGACGATCATGCTCGGTTATCGGCCGGCACCGGCAGTGCTCAGTCGGAGAAGGAACGCACTTGGCAAACTGCATCCCAAACAGCTACCTACCACTTAATAGTACTACAGTGTACCATTGTTCTAGTCACCTAAAACGAAGAAAATTAAGGTCAACTTTGTATCCATTAACTACTAATAGTTAGCTAGCTAATAGTAATTTATATTTAATACTAAGCTAGCTAACTATTCGCTAGTTTGTTAGTTAGGTACAATAGCGGAGCTGGAAGCTTTTCAGAGCATGGTCAAAATTTATTATGTAAAAATATTACCTATAAAGAAAATCTTCTTTTAAGTTTATACTGACGAGCTCGGTCGGCCACTAGTTAGGTATAGCTAACAATTAACTAAACTATTTGTTGGATTCATTTAGATAAAGAAATGAATTATTAACACATCTAATTATTAGCTCTATGAATCGTACTTAAAACGTATTGTAACACACGAAGTCACTTCCGTCGATGTCCAAGTAGTCTCCCCATCTAAAAATACCTACTGACCGGTCACCGCAACCACGTCTGCGACTGCGACCTCTCGACTCACCGCAGTGGTCTATTGACGTTCCAACTTGGCTGCCTCTAGTTAGTCAACACCCGACCGGGAATCAGCTAGCTAGCTAGGTTAATTAGCACACATGCTGGATTATTTGCCAGCGCATGCATGGGCATGGACAACTCTGACTTATTGGTGTTTTGTAGCCTAACTGAGCCCTTGATTAGTTCCATCCCAATTTCTAAAAAGTTGCTACAGTATCTGTCACATCGAATGTTTGCGGTCCGTGCATGGAGCATTAAATGTAGACGAAAAGAAAAACTAATTGCACAGTTTGGTGGGAAATTGCGGGACGAACGTTTTGAGCCTAATTAATCCATGTTTGAACACTATTTGACAAATAAAAACGAAGGTGCTACAGTATTTCTAAAATCCAAATTTCGCGAACTAAACAAGGGCTGATATTCGTCGCCACCTTCTGCCTCAAGCTTCTGCTCATACTTCTTCCTGCCCAACTAACACCCTGCACAAAAACAACGTTAACAGTTAAACCATGTGCGTAATCGTACGTAGCCACCGCTTAGATCACAAGGTCGTTGAGTCAAATTAAAATTAGCATAAAGAAGCTTCCGCGAATTCTGTTTTATCTTATCCGTGTTTCCAGAGCTACATAATTAAATTCAGTACATCAACTCCGCAGGAACAGGAAGCTTCTTCTTTGCAGGAAAAAGAATAAATAGGAAGCAGCAAAACAATTTATTATTCTTCAAGCTATAGTTATACACCTATTTATAAAATGAAGGCTTCTAGTATTTTACACTAAGCCCTAAGAGGGGGTGGTTCAACTAGGGTTACTTAAATCTATAGCCAACTTCTTCACCCATGTAAAAACTTGTACAAATTCTATCTACATGTGTTCCAGGTTTTTATAGTGTTGCTTTCTCTACCGAACAAAACTTTTGTACTCTAGGTCCAATTCTATCAACTACCGTGCAATCCTAGGAAAGGTAAAGTCATGCACGCAAGTTATAAGTAAATGCAGAATCCTAGGGAAGGTAAAGTCATGCATGCAATCCTAGGAAAAATTTGTACTCTAGGTCCAATTCTATCAACTACCGTGCAATTCTATCTACATGCATGCAATTCTATCAACTACCACGTGAAGCAGCATAGGCACAGCTCTATGTCCCACGCCGCTCCGTGTCCCACGCCCCGCACCATGTCCCGCACAGCTCCGTGTCCCGCACCGCTCTATGTGTCCTGCACCGCTTTGTCTTGATCTGCGCCAGCACGGTATCCCGCTCGCGTCCCCTCCACACTCACGCGCATGCAGGCAGACCCAGTAGCTGCAGCAGATGGGACCCACTGCAACATGTGCAACACCCATATTTACTTTTGCAACATCTAGAGAAAACATTTGCAACATACATCCAAAACAGTTGAAACACTTGCAACATACGTCTGAAACACTTGCGATACACCAGAAAAATTTGAAAACCACGTGTGTAGCCATTGCAAACATTTAGATGAAACCATTTGTAACATACGTATGAAAACATTTGAAACACTTGCATATATATGCAACATCCAGATCTACTTTTACAACATCCAGATGAAACAATTGCAACATACGTCTAAAATTGATGAAACATTGTAACATACATGTATAGCCATTGCAATATGTGCAACATCCCGATCTACTTTTGCAATATCGATGTGAAACACTTGCAACACATCTTTGAAACATCTGAAACACTTGAAACATATGCTTGCAACATGCACTTTCCAACGCAATATCACCTTGCTGCTTGACGAATGGAGGCTCATCGTTGCAGAGCTCGACGCCGGTGCGGAGGTCGGCGGCGGTGCGTGGAGCTCGCTGGTGCCCCAGCGGAGGTAGCGTCGTCGGGCGAGCACCTGTGCGAGGTCGCGAGGGCAGTGCTGGGCGAGTACCTGCATGAGGAGCAACTGGCGAGCATGGCGGCCTACATAGCGAGCACCCCCTGCAGCACCCCTAGCGAGCGGGCAGCAGCCGATGGGCACCCCCTGCCTGTTGAGCACGAGCACCACCTGCTGCGCCAGTAGCTAGCGAGCACCCCATGGCTGGCAAGCACGCGAGTTCGAGATGGGGAGGAGAGTCATAGGCTCCACGATGGAGAGACGAGGAGAGAGAGAGATGGAATTGGAGAGGATAGATCTGGTCACCTAACGGGAGTAGATATTTGTGTTGTGAGAAAATACATGTACAACGTGAGGCCATGTAGCGTCTGTTCGTTCGGGCGCAGGACGGACATCCGTGGTGGAGCGTTTTCGAAAAAAAAAATTGAACCAGTCCAGTGTCTCTTGTCCCTTCTCTTGGACATATCTGGAATCGAATTAGTCTGATGGCACACTTTTCTTCACTGGATAAACCAGAAAACCTTGGTGCCACTTAATCTCATCCCTCCATATGGTTTGTCCAGCGATCAACATCACCTCCACTCCACCGGATCAGCCACGAACCTTGTTCTTGCTCACAAGGTATTGGCCCTGCACAGTACTGGACTCATCGGATAAACCACTATATTATCATGCATGTGCACTACAAGCACTTGTCCGGTGCTTTGTTTTGCATGATTCTCTTTGTTTCATCGTATGTCCAGGCTTCATTTCTGTGATGTGTATAAGTTAATAAATTAGTCATGTACGTATCTCCTAGTGTCTTTTATATGTCCACTTGAGGTGCATTCACCCCGAGTCCATCTGCTTACATCTATAATGCTAAATTCTTGGATAGTAGTTGTTAGTCCCATTCTACATACTTGTATATTAGCATATGTTCAACAAAACCAAAGTATAAGGCCATTGAATTCATGTTTGGGATCGGACGTGGGGATTTTGTAGTAGCTACTGTATGCATGATACACTATGTTTTTTCCACACTCTAGTCCTTACTCCTTCGGTATATATGTAACATGTTTCCTATAATTTTTTCTTTCGTGAAAATCCTGCGATTGAAATAGATCCTTAAGCAACCACGAGAGCCAGCGGTGGGAAATATATAGGACAAAGGCAGAATGGGCATTTTGGTCCCTCCCTATCATTGGAGGCTTAATTTTATCCTTAAACTTTCAAAATAATAACTACTTCAGTTTTTTTGGGGGCTTAATTTCAGTCCGGAACTATTGAAGTGGCCATCCCCTCCCCACCCCACCCACACCATTTTAGTAGAAAGTGTAGTTGGCTGTTGGCTGTTGGCTCGTTGCATTCGCCTTGTGATTGAAAAAAGAAGACTGGCCTGTTTGGAACGTAGAAATAAAAAACACGGGAATAGAAAAAAACGCAGAAATTGGGTGAGTATGTAGTGGTAAAACAGAGGAAAGAAAAAACGCGAGAAATAACTAGAAGGGGTGTTTGAAACGCAGGAATCCATAACACAGAAAAAAGGCAGGAAGTAACATTATTTTTTTTTGTTTCTCTTCTCTTGCTGTCTCGGTCTTCGTGAATCCATTGGTTTGGACTGGATGTTTTGTTTCCCGTGAAATGAATGGAGGTAGGAAACTTTTCTTTGTTTTACTGTTGAAGTTTCCTTCATTCCAAACAGCATTTCTGGAAACATTTCCAAAGGAATGGATTCCTATGAATTTCCTTTAAAATTCCTTTGATCCAAACAAGGCCATGTAACAGAAAAGCCGGCCGGGGGAAAGGAGATTATATAATATAGACTTTGGTCAAACCAAAAGCTATGGATAGGACTAACTAGGCAGTACCCGGCGCGTTGCCGCTGGTGTACCAAAGGCAAACAATCGGTGTAGAAAATGCATCCTTGAATCCATGTATTTATTATGCATATTTGTTGTTTGTGACATTGTAAAAGCATTTATGAAAATTTGAGGGTACGTACCTGTTATGAGTACATAGAGAATAAAGGGCTGAACTCAAATATTGTATAAAAAAATTGATAGCACTA